AAGAGACTGAATTGACGAGGTCGGCCTCACTTGTGTCACTAGCCCTGACCCCGCTGAAGTTGGAACAGAGGGAGTCAAGGGACCAGGGGGACAAGAGTGCCAGAGGTTTGCTTGCGGCTCTTGCAGATGATGACCTTGGTAGGCAGGATATCTCCTGATTTGGGTACTGTAGCAATAGACCAGGCAGGTACAGTGGATTGCAAGATGCATAGCAGAGTCAGGTATGTAGCCAGGACACAGGACTGGAGCGGAGTCGTAGGATAGCCAGGGTCATAACATTCGGGCAGCACGATACAGGATCAGGAGGAAAAGCCAAAGCAAGGATCAGAGCCAAAGTCAGGAACCGGGGGCAGGAGAGTACTCAGAGTCCGGTCAGGAACAAGCTGGGTCAGCAACAAGGAAACGAACAGAAGCAAGCAGGACACGGGGGAGCTGAACCAGTCAGCACTGAATCTGGCAGAGGCGCACTGTCAGGCACCACCCGGCGGAATCTCTAGTGATCCACAGAATGGGATTCCCCAGGACGCGCAGTCTAAGTCCCAGTCTGTCTTTTCACCAGAGCCCCTGATGGTGGGGATGCATTTGGTGCAAGACTGAAACCAGAGTGTGACCCCTGAGTGCACCCAACTGTGGTAGAGGGGTCCCGCCAAGGGTACGTGCCGGGGGTGAGCCTGATGTGAAGAGGCTGACAAGTCCAGGTCCCGAGCGGCATGGATGGATGACAGTCAGGAGTAAGCATGGTCAGACTAGCCGGGTCGGTAACGGTGGAAGCAGATAGGTACCAAGCAGTAGACAGAGAGCAGCTGGGTCACGAGCCAAGGTTCAGCAACGGGAGGTCAAATAGTAATATAGCAACAAGCAGGAGAGTAGTCAGGGACGAGCCGGGGGTCAGAGCAGGAGAAGGTCAACACAAGTCAGGACAAGCAGGATCATCAACAGGAACACACTTTAGAACATGGGTACAGGAACTAGACCTTGCGGCAACCTGGTCACCGCCTGGCCAGTTTAAATAGTGCGCCCTGCACCATCATTGGTGCCCGGTGCAATTGCCGCCGCCCAGGTCCTAGTGCCTGCACATTAGTGCGCCTAGGCAATCTGCGCATGTGCAGATCTGTGCGCCGCAGCAAGACCCACAGTCCCTGACACGCACCTTAGATAGCCCGTCTGGTGCCAATCTTCACCGTGCCTGTGCACGTGCGCGTGCATGTGCTCGATCGCGCATTCCTGCACGCCTGCGCACAACAGGCAATTCTTCTGCGGGATCTCTTTCACGCATGCGCGTTCCAGATCGTGACTCTTCTTGCAGGAACTCTCTTACACATTGGCTCCCACTTCTCTCAATCACAGCCAGTGAGGAAAAGGGGTAGGACCGAGCTCTGTTCTGTGTTTCTATTGAACACACAGAGAGGACTCAAGAGAGAGCATGCACGAGTGCCCCCATAGCATGCAGCTTGCTACAGGCACTCAGCAGGGTGAAAGAGCCGAGAGAGCCAGCAGGAGACCCTAGAAGAGAAGGATTGGGGCTGCTCTATGCAAAACCCTTGCATATTGCAGGTAGGTATAACGTAAGGTTTAATGTATGCTTTTAATATTTCTTTGAGAACTGAAGTTGGGAACCACTGCTTTAAGCCATGCCTCATATTCAGTGCTGTGTAGCTGCCTCCACCTTCCCTCTTGCATGTCATCTGCATCCTGTTGCTAAACATGGAAGGTATAGTACCCACTCCAGTGTCAGCTGAACATCATTGCTCTGGTTTCCTGATTGAGACAATAGCTGATCATGTCTGTGTAAAGTGTGACAGCATGGTCACTTGTACTCTCAACAAGGAGCATGTTTGACAGGCAGAAAATAATTGGGAAAGTATTGTCACCCTATAGCAATGCCTGGACAAGAATCTTAATTGCAGGATCACCAGGCATTAATTTAATAAAATCTGCGTATGCAAGACTGAAAATGGCTTTTTACTTTTTTGAATGCTAAAGCTTATCTAAGATTTAAGTGATTAAAGTATTTTTAAACACTTTGCCTTTGTAATGCCGCATAAAGAACTACATGTCTACACAATTATTTTCTTGGAAAAAAACAACATGTTTAATCTCTTAAAAATCACTTTTTAATCTTTTATGTAGATGTGAGGGCCTTGTTCTTTAACTCCTGCCCAGCAGTACTGTCAAAGTAAACAGCAGCAAGGACATAATTTTTTCTCTTATGGTGATTAGCTGCAAAGAAAAAGAAGGTTGAACTGTACCCTGATTGGCTGTTGCTACAGCTGTAGATGACCAGCCCCTAGAAGCCCTGGGGAAGGAGGATGTCTGATTGGCTTCCTGGGCCAAACTGGCTCCTGATTGGTTGCTGGCCATTTTTATCCATGCCCACCACTGGGAGAAGGGAGTGATCCATGTGTTACCAGAGAGGATAGTTACAAACTGCTGCAACAGAGCTTTGGAGCCAAACTGTGCTGTGTTATCACAGAGTGTTTAGTCTGAGAGCCTGTATACTGGGCTCATGGCTGCAAGAAGGCACAGGACTGTCTGTTGTTTTGAGCTGCTGCCAGAGGATCTATTCTGCGAGGAGAAGTGTGCTATATCTAAATCACATGCCAAACTGTTTGCAGGCTACAGGCTATCGCTGTGCTATTGTATCAGAATGTTCCAGCTACCACTACCTGCTTAACCTGCAGAGACCTGGCTCAAGAGGGAAGACCCTTTCACTGGCCAACTGACCAGAACTGGAGTCATTTATAGTGAGAGGCCTCTGACCACCATCTTGTTTAGATAATTGTGGGCACCAACATAAGGGCCCCATTGTCGGCAGACTCTCTATAATTGCCCCACTGGCCAGTGGTTAGGTAGGACATCTCTGCAGTAGATAGGCTGTAATGCCTGTATTGCTATTGCAAAAGTCATTTGTATTGTTGTGCTGTTTTGGATTAATGTTTATCCCCATTTCAAGCCAGTATCACTCTCTCCCGCCAGCCTGGTGCACATTTCTGCTCCAGCCACTTCTCAGGAGGACAAAGTGAATGAACAGTGACAACCTGTGTATTGTGTTTCCTAACATGGTGCCAGAATTGTTGTGATATTGGAACTGTTGTCTAACCAATTCTTTTTATGGATTTGCCTTTAAATAAAGCCCATTTTAAAATGTTAGTTGTGTGCGTGTTCTCAGAACCAGGTAAAGGTGGGTCATTGCAGGTGCAGAACAGAAGGAACCCAATACAATTCAGTGGCTTCTTCGTGGGTGAATGCTACATTTATGTGGCTGACACAAGGGGGTTTATTTACTAAAGCTGGAGAGTCCAAAATCAGACTCCCTTCTGCATAGAAACCAATCAGCTTCTAACCTCAGCTTGTTCAATGAAGCTTTGGCAATGAAACCTGGAAGCTGATTGGTTTCTATGCAGAAGGGAGTCTGATTTTGGACTCTCCAGCTTTAGTAAATAAACCCCAAGATGTCACAGCCTCATCAGTCCCTCTTAACTATAGCAGAGGGTCATGTATGTTTAGAAGGCCTAATTAAGCACAGTGGCAAAGTCCCCCATCAGTGGATTGCAGCAAGCTGGTAGTTGGGTAGGATTGGGTGACACAGCGGGAGAGAGGTCTAACATCACATACGCAGAGAGGTTCCAGCTGGGAGCTTGTGTCAAAACTGAAGCTGGTTCTGAAAAGCAGCACACACAGACAGGAAAGTTACTTCCCCAGTGCATGTGTATGATGTAAGTCCATTTCCCTGTCTGCTGTGTTACTAATTCTGCCCATTGGCTGTGTGATGTAAGACTACCTATTGTCCACATGCTGTGTGATAAACCACTCACAGCCCTCCCACTATGTAGGATGTAAATCACAGATGGGGAACTTCCCCACTAAGTGTAAACAAGCTTGAACCCTTACTAAATGAATAGGAGCTTGGAGGGGGCATGGTTGCTCAAATGATCACAGGAGATACAGGCATGTCGTTTGTCAGCAGAGTGTCCTGTAACTCCCAACCTTGATCACAGGAAAATAAATTGACCATGACAGCATAGATCTGCTTGCTCGGATAAGTTTGAAACAGGGACTCTTGAGAACTTGCATGTTCACCAGGTTTATAAAGTGTTATAATAAATACAAAGTTAAGAAGCTAAATTAAAAAAAAAACACATATATATGCACACACATTTTTTAATCTTACTTTGTGGGGTAATATACACTTTAAGTGTAGATCTATTCTCATTAAGTGAAACACATCACAAGCAGTTAACATACTGCACATAAAGAGAATAAAGGAGATATTTAACACCCCCATTCTGTTTTGGCTTGGTTTATCTCATGTCCTCCCCTCACAGATGGTGCTCAGAAGCTGCTTTACATGTGTCCTTATTTGGACTCCAAGACCTAAATCTTATTCCAGCTGCAAGGCAAAGCTGATAACACGACAAGAATGATGTGCTCTCTGACTTGTTATAATCCTTGGTAACTTCACAAAAGGCCAGAAATGCATATGGTCACCAGAAGTGTTGTGTTAAGCCCAATCAGAATGTTTACAAACTGTGATTCAATGCTATTACCTACTGACCACCAGAGACTTCTTAGAAGAAGACTATTGAATCTTGTTTTTTACTCTTTAAAATGCATATTTAAAGTACATGTAAACCCTAACAATGCATCCTCCTATTTGTTCCCTTTTGATATGTTAATTTTACCATTAAAATGGTTGCCATGCATCTGTTTGAGAGGTTAAAAACATCTGTTGATCCTGCCAGAAATCTAGTAAGTAACTCCATGCACATTGTGCTGTGCTAAACTAATATGCAATTCAGCATTACTAATTCTGCACAGTTCAGCTCTCTGAATTAGGGCTCATATACACTGCAGCTGCTAAACTCACGTTTAGGAGCTGTTCAGCGTTTTTTTTTTTCAGCAGCCCCTGAACTCACCGTAATGTTTTCCTATGTGTCCATGTACACATCGTCGTTTACAGTCGTTTACAGGCAGTTGAGTTTACAGTCATTTTTTTGAATGCAACAAACTTGCATTCAGACGTTGATTTTATCAGTGTTTCAAACACAAAATGCTTGTAAACGCAGCTAAATGCATCCAAACGCGGCAACTCGCTTTTATAAGTGTTTGCGGTTTAAATTTTTTTCACTCTTCCAGTTCCCAATGCTGTCCAGAGCCTTTTTTCATCATGAAAATGCATGGAAAGAGTTTTCAAGGTGCTCAGATGGACAAAACACTTAACATAGGATATTCCTACCAAGCTTGTCACACATTGTAATGACCAATTCACACCTCAGACCTCTCCCACCCTTGGAAACAAAACATATGCCCATTCACACCTCAAATTCCTCATGAAGACCCCCTTGACAAGTGGCCTTAATGACTCCCTCCACCAGCCACCTTCCCACCCTTGGAAACAAAAGAAATGTTAATGAGCAACTCACACCTAGCTAATGTCAACACATACTGCTGTGTCTGCTTCTACTGTGTGTATTTCTCTGAAACAGTCTGAAATAGTTAATAATTTACCATTTTTCAGTGCATTCTGGGCATTTGGGAGGTTTCCTGTGCTTATATTTAAAAAAAACACTTCTAAACGCAAACGCACATAAGCGCGTTATGCAAACGTGGCTAAACAGACGTTTTTGTAACCTACATTTTCCAGCAGTCAGTTTCCATCATTCAGAAATGTTCCGTGTACATGGGGCCTCACAGAACATCTCCATGTCTATGGAGATAAGAACGAGGGGAGGTATTCTTTGTTCAAAATCAGGAGTGAAAAAGCACAAGTGTGAACCAAGGCGCATCATCCCAACCTTTGATGGCTGAAAGTGTCCGAAGTCCTGCTGCAATGGGATCCTACTTGATTATAGGAGCACACAAAAGCACATAAATACAGCACAAGGACTATGCGGGTAATGTCAGGGATAATGGCAATGTCTATATAGGAAAAAACTGTTTAGCCTCAATCGTTCATTATGGGATCGATCCAGAGCAACACATGACCCAGTGAGAGTTGTGCTGTGCTGGTGGCAGCACTGTAATGAAAGTCAATGTCTCACTATAAATTCCAAATGAATGAATACTTTATTTAATGAGAAGTGATGAAAATAAGTGCACAAAGTTGACAAAAACACTTCACACTTAACAGTATTAAAGTGCTTACTGTAGTGACTGCAATGTGCATTGAGGAACCAGCATGATTCGTAGTCTGTGGGAATGAGCAGAGAGGACACAGATGTGTCATCCAACTGGCAGGTATGAAAAAAATCAATGGCTTCAGGGAGGGATGGATGGATGTGAAGGTATGCAAGCTAGCCAGAACACCCAGCCTGTCAAGAAGTACATCACCGCTAGACTTTAAATCTTCAAGCAGGCCATGTTTTTTACAGCGACTACCAATAGACATACTGTACATGTTCTCCAAGATGACATGTTTCAAGGCACTGCCTCCTCCTCCTCAGGAGTGAGCAGCCTAGATTTCCAACTCAGCTCTTCTATAGATACAGGACAGGGAATGAGTGTTGTTATCTTCTGACAAAAATTATATTGTCGCCAGGATCGTCAAGTGAAAATAGTGTGAAATAAAGCATAAAAGTCTAAGGACTGGGAAGATACAATGTATTACATTTTTGTTTTTGGCATTAAATACATTCTATGTGTATTTGACATATAAGCAGCATAAGCACTAAATGTTTATTGATACCAGTCTCCTGTAAGCAGCCAGTCAGACAGGGAGAGGTAGGGTCAGAATGGTAAATCTATCAGGGCTCTCTTACTTTGCACAGTGCCATTGATCTCTCTCTCTCTTTCAAGATAGATAGATAGATAGATAGATAGACTTTAAATACATGACAATGAATTTCTAGAGCACTATGATCTAAGATGTTTTAAAATAAAACAGTAGTTATTGAAAAACTTAAAGTGGAGTTCCACTCACCCTGTCAAAAAATAAAAGTCAGCAGCTACAAAAACTGTAGCTGCTGACTTTTAAAAAACAGCCACTTACCTGTCCCTCGGTTCCATGATCTGTCCCCCGCAGTCCGTTTAACGAGGAGCGGGGGAGCAGTCCTTAAAGCAGAACTTTCCCTTTTGGGTGGAGCTCCGCTTTAAGCAGAGCAGTACAAGGGGAGGAAAGTCCACCTTGTGCTATTGAGCTTTGTAAACAACAGGCTTTTTGCAACACATAGTAGGGAGGAAATGGAAACTGTGCTCCACCTGCTGGTTAAATAAAAAAATACAAAATATTCATATGCAAAATGTCATATTTATTTGACTGTATGAAATGAAAAAGCGTTTTGTACAAATTGCTATTTCAGTCTTAAAAAAAAGAAAATGTGCACATTACCGTTCTACATTTCCTTAAAAAATATCCCAAATACTCATTGTAATGTAGACTGATAATGTTTAGTACAAAAGCCTAGAGTTTTCAGTTGATGAACTCTATTGCATTGTAAAGTAAGTTCCTGGCACTGTGGAAGACCCTTGTAATAACTCAGCTTGTTGTCACATAACTTTGAGAAAGTTTGAGAGTTTCATTGCTGCTATATTTCACAGCATACATTTATAACTGACTCCTGCATATAGAGTGTTTGTTTTTTCCAAAGCTGATATTTACACAATTCTATGGATGCTCTTTAAAGGATTTTTGGATTATTTCCAATTGATTATGGACTATAATGTAATACAGTAGTTACAAACAAACTTTTTGTGGATTATTAGTGAGTAGTGAACATTCATTTTATGTTCTTCTACAGTATATACAAGAATGATATTGTTTTATTTGAAGTATTGAACATTGTGCATATAAAACTGCTCAAATGTACTGTATATTTAGTATAAGGTGGACATTATGGTGTATAAAATCAAGCACTTAGGCATGCAGATTGATCCTACAAGCATTTGTAAAAGAATCGGTTGCTCTCAGGAGCTCAGTGAATTCAAGCGTGGTACCATCATAGGTTGCCACCTGTGCAATAAGTCCATCCATGAAATTTGTTTGCTACTAAATATTTCACAATCAACTGTTAGGGAGATAATAACAAAGTGGAAGCAACTGGGAACAACTGCAACTCAGCCTCAAACTGGTAAGCCACAGAAAATGACAGAGCGGGGTCAGCACATGTTGAAGCACACAGTGTGCAGAAGTCGCCAACTGTATGCAGAGTCAATAGCTAAAGACCTCCAAACTTCATGTGACCTTCAGATTAGCACAACAGTGAGTAGAGTTTCATGGAATGGGTTTCCATGGTCAAACAGCTGCATGAAAGCCTTACATCACCAAGTTCAAATCAAAGCGTTGGATGCAGTGGCATAAAGGACGCCACCACTAGACTCTATAGTAGTAGAGACATGTTCTCTGGAGTGATAAATAATACTTCTCTGTCTGGAAATTTGATAGACATGTCTTGGTTTGGAAGTTGCCAGCAGAATGGTACTTGCCTGACTGCATTGTGCCAAGTGTAAAGTTTGGTGAAGGGGGGATTATGGTGTGGGGTTTTTTTTTGCAGGGGTTGGGCTTGGCCGCTTAGTTCCAGTGAAGGGAACTCTGAAGGTGTCAGCATACCAAGACATTTTGGACAATTTCATGCTCTCAGCTTTGTGGGATGGCCCCTCCTGTTCCAACATGACTGCACACTAGTGCACAAAGCAAGGTCCATAAAGACATGGATGAGCAAGTTTGGGGTGGAAGAACTTGACTGGGCTGCAGAGTCCTGACCTCAACCCGATACCACATGTTTGGGATGAATTAAAACAGAGACTGCAAGCCAGGCCTTCTCATCCGACATTAGTGCCTGACATCACAAATGCGCTTCTGGAAGAGTGGTTAAATATTCCCATAGACATATTCCTAAACCTTGTGGATGGCCTTCCCAGAATTATTATTATTATTATTATACAGTATTTATATAGCGCCAAAAAGTTTGCTCAGTGCTGTACATTATAGTGGGGGACAGTACATGAGACAATACAGTAATAAAACAATACACAAGGGGTTTGAGGGCCCTGCTCTTTCGAGCTTACAATCTAGGAGGAAGGGGATAGTGGTACAGGAGAAAGTGGCTGTGGGGGATGGAGTGGTAGGAGGAGTGGAGGAGATCGGCTGTTAGGTGAGAGTGGGGTAGGCTTCCCTGAAGAGATGGGTTGCCAGGATGCGCCTAAAGGTGAGGAGGGTAGATGACAGTCTGATAGATTTGGGTAGTGAGTTCCAGAGGATGGGGGAAGTCCTGGAGAAGTCCTGAAGTTGGGTGTGGGAGGAGGAGACCAGGGAGCTAGAAAGTAGGAGGTCTTGTGAGGAGCGAAGAGTACGGGTTGGGTGGTATTTGGGTATCAGGTCGGTGAGGTAGTTTGGGGCAGTGTATGAATGGCTTTGTATGTCAGTGTTAGTAGTTTGAATTTAATGTGTTGGGCAATCGGAAGCCAGTGGAGGGAATGACAGAGGGGGGTGGCAGAAGCGGAGCAGTTGGTAAGGTGCATGAGTCTGGCCACTGAGTTCAGGATAGACTGAAGCGGGGATAGCCTGTGTTGGGGTAGGCTGGTGAGAAGGGAGTTGCAGTCCAGACGTGAGATAATAAGGGAGTGAACGAGTTGTTTAGTAGTGTCTGGGGTTAGGAACGTACGTATTTTGGAGCTGTTGCGGAGGTGGAGCCTGCATGAATTTGCCAGCGATTGGACATGGGGTTGGAAGGACAGGTTTGAGTCTAGAGTGACACCTAGGACTTTGGCTTGTGGGGTGGGATTGATGGTGGCGTTGTTGGTCGTGATGGAGAGAATGGGGGGGGGTGCGGGCTGGGGGAAAAATTAGGAGCTCGGTTTTGGAAAGGTTTAGTTTGAGGAAATGGAGCGACATCCATTCTCATATGTTGTTCAGTAGGTGGGTGATGCGGGCGGAGACTGAAGAGGTGAGGGGTGGAGAGGTAAATTTGCGTGTCATCAGCGTAGAGGTGATAGTTGAAGCCGTGGGAGTGTGTCAGTTTGCTGAGGGAGGAGGTGTAGATGGAGAAGAGAAGGGGCTCAAGGACAGAGTCTTGGGGGACCCCAACAGAAAAGGGGAGAGAGGGGGAGGTGGTAGCGTTATAGGTAACGCTGAAGGAGTGCTGGGATAGATAGGAGGAGAGCCAGGAGAGAGCGGAGTCTCTGATGCCAAGGGAGTGTAGTTTATTAAGGAGGAGGGGGTGGTCAACTGTGTCGAAGGCCGTGGAGAGGTCGAGCAGTAGGAGGACTGAGTAGTGGCCATTAGCTTTGGCAGTTAGCAGGTCATTAGTGATTTTGAGTAGGGAGGTTTCAGTGGCCAGACTGTAGTGGATCGAGGAGGTTGTTGTCAGCGAGGTGGGAGCTTAGGCGATTGTAGACTA